ACTTTTTAACTATGTGATTGTGTGACCTTGATCTAGTTTTTAATTTTTTGGGGGGCCTTAGTTTTCTCTGTAAAATGAGGATACTGACAGAAGACACCTTGTGGGATTAAATGAGCACATCTGTGTAGTGCTTAGTATAGGCTCCGTGTGCTCTAGATGTCAGGTTGCAGGAGTAGTAGTGATCATAGTCATCCTCAGTGTCTGGTACTACCCTCATCATACCCCATCCAGGATGGGATCATGGTCTTTAGCCCTGTTGCACAGATGAAGTAACAGACTTGGAGATGAAGTGACTTGTCTGGAGCCACAGAGCTAATTAGATTTGGGAGTCAGATTTCCACAGTCAAGCTTCAAACCCATATCTTTACAACTTCTAAAAACAAATTATCTAGACTGTTTCTTCTGCAACTATCTCAAAACTTGAGATTTCAGGATTAAGCCTATGAATCTTTCAGGATTAAGAAATGCAAAGTAGATAAAGTTGGTCTTTTTCTTTTGAAGTTTTTACATTTGTTCTAATTAGTTATACATGACAGTAGAATGCATTTTGACACATTGTACACAAATGGAGCACAACTTCTCATTCCTCTGGCTGTACATGGTGCAAAGCCACACTGATAGTGTAATTATACATGTATGTAGGGTAATAATGTCTGTCTCATTCCACTGTCCTTCTCATCCTCACAGGCTCTCCCCTTCCCTCACTCTCCTCTGCATAATGCAAAATTCCTTCATTTCTCCCTCTCCCGCTCCATCCACTATGGAGCAGCGTCCGCTTATCAGAGCAAACATTCAGCTTTTGTTTTTTGGGGATTGGCTTATTTCACTTAGCATTATATTCTCTTGTTCCATCCATTTACCAGCAAATATCATAATTTCATTCTTCTTTAAGGCTGAGTAATATTTCATTATGTATCTGTACCACATTTTCTTTATCCATTCATCTGTTGAAGGGCATCTACGTTGGTTCCATAGTTTAGATATTGTGAATTGAGCTGCTATAAACATTGATTTGGCTATGTCACTGTAGTGTGCTGATTTTAAGTCCTAGTTGGGTAAAATGGTGATTCCATTCCAAGTTTTCTGAGGAATCTCTGTACTGTTTTCCATAGCGGTTGCACCAATTTACAGTCCTACCAGCAATGTATAAGTGTACCTTTTTCCCACATCCAGGTCAACATTTATTATCGCCTGTATTCTTGATAATCGCCATTCTGACAAGAGTAGTAGTTTGAGCAATAGTAACAAAAAAGGCATGGTATTGGCATCAAAATAGACATGTAGACCAATGGTACAAAATACAAGACACAGAGACAAACCCACCTAAATACAGTTATCTCATACTAGATAAAGGCACCAAAAACATACATTGGTGAAAAGATAGCCTATCAACAAATGGAGCTGGTGAAACTGGAAATCCATGTGTAGCAAAATGAAATTAAACCTCTGTCTCTCACCCTACACAAAAATCAACTCAAAATGGATCAGAGGTGTAGGCACTAGAATGGAGAGCTTGTGCCTAATAGAAGAAAAGGAGGCCCAAATTTCCATCCTGTTGGCTAGGAACTGATTTCCTTAATAAGACTCCTAAAGCTCAAGAAGTAAAATTAAGAATTAATAAATGGGAGAGATTCAAACTAAAAAGTTTCTTATCAGCAAAGGAAACAATGAAGATAGAGCCTACAGAATGGGAGAAAATATTTACCATAAGAACCTCAGATAGAGGACTAATCTCCAGGATATATAAAGAACTCAAAAAACTTAACACCAAAAAAAGCAAATATCCCAATCAATAAATGGGCTAAGGAACTGAAGAAGAAGAAAGAAATACAGAAGAAGAAATACAACCTATCAACAAATATAAGAAAAATGTTCAACACCTCTAGCAATTAGACTACTCTAAGATTTCATCTCACTCCAGTCAGAAGTTGATCTTTTACAGCTTCTGTTACCCCAGAGGCTCATTCCCTGCCAGCAGGCCTGCTCTGTTTCCCAGCTTTCAATCCTTTCCTGTGCATCTGCCCCTCCTCTGCTTACTCTATTTTGGTAGTTTTTTTCTATCTCATCTTTGTCTTTCATCTTAGTTTATATTTTTAAAAAATTTTGTCAAAAAGTACATGGGTTCAGTTTGAAATCAGTGAGTTGAGGGTGGAGGCTGGGCATCCTTCTGTGCAGGCTGCTGAGCACATCCCCCCTCGAAGGCCTTGGGATTTTGTCTGGAGGATGCAGCAGTGCAGGTGCCAGTGCTAGTTTGGCTTCCACACTCATCCTTAAAAATATCTCCAGTAGCATTTACTATATCATTGCGACATATATACTCCCATGACCTATTTCTTCTCCCATGAGGTAGCTGCTGTTTCTATTAGTTGCCTGCTGTATGATCAAATAACCTTGCCTTTCAAAGGTCTCTAACCCCTGAGGTTCTTTCAAATTTCTTTTTAAAACTCAGACACTCCTCCTAATGTTATTTAACTTAGAGACTTTTCCTGATGTTAGCATCACAAATGGCTTTATTTTATGAAACATTTTATTTTGCAAATTAACTCCTGAGAACATCATCAGACTATATGTGAAGAACATAAAATTCTATGGAAGGAAGGTGTTATGTACATTTCTAAAACTAGTTGTAATCTTAACAGTATGTTATTGTGTTTTTTATTTTATTTTATTGTGTTTTTTTTTTTGGAGTGGGGGAGAATTGGGATACTTTTGCTTCAAAATAAAAGTTTCAGATCCTGCCATAGACTTAATGTTTTTATATGATTTAGAACAGCTGTTTTGTAGGGTCTCCCTGACCTTTTTAATCTCCTGATATTTCCATACTGTTCCATCATTCCAAGGAGGCAGTCATTCTTTGCAAAATAGATTTGCTGAGAGTTTGTTCTGATGAATCACTGTTTTCTTTCTTTTTTTATTTTATCAGTGTTACTGAGGTATAATTTCCACAAAATTCACTCATTTAAAGTGTAAACTCAGTAATTTCTCTAAACTTATGGAGTTATACAACCATTAAAACAATGTAATTTTAGAAGTTTTTCACCACCTTTTAAGAATTCCCATTTGAGCCTATTTGCATCAAGGCCTGTACTGCCTCCTCTCTAGCTCCAGGCAGCCAGTAATCTGCCTCCTGTCTCTGTGGATTGCCTTTTCTAGATATTTTATATATGTAGAATCATATATTGTGCAGTATTTTAGATCTGACTTCATTAATTTAGCAAAATGTTTTTGAGAGGCTTATTCATGTTGTAACATAAATTTTTGCACAAAATTTTTGTCTTGTCTTTTGGAGCACATAGTTTTTTAATTTTAAAATGAGTACTGTGACACTGTTACTATTGCTACCTGACATCTAGAGTGCACCAAGCCTATACTAAGCACTAATTTGATGCTTTTTATTTCTGAATAGCATTCTATTGTATGGGTAGACTATATTTTGTTTATCCATTCATCAGTAGTTGGATATTTGTATTATTTCCATTTGGGGGCATAATATGAATAAGCTCCTGTGACCTTCATATACAAGTCTCTGTGCATACGTATATTTTCATATTTGTACTTAGGTAGATTCCTAGAAAATGGCATTTCTGAGTTATATAGTATGTTTATGTCTAACTTAAGAAACCGAAACTATTTTCCAAAGTGAGTGTACTATGTTGCATTATCACCAGCAATGCATGAGGCACTAGTTTCTCTACATGGTTAGCAGTTCTTGCTGTGTCTTGATTGTAGCCATTCCAGTGGACATACTGTGTGTCTTATTGGGGTTTTAATATGTATATCCCTTTAAAATTTAATTGCTTTTTAATTGAATTGTTATGTTCCTTGTATATTCTGTATATAAGTTGATATACTGTTTGTAAATATGTACTCTCAGTCCTGATTTTTAATTTTTTTCTAGTTTTTTGAAACATAAAGTTTTTTAATTTTAATGAGATCTACTTTATTAATTTGTTTTCTTTTATGATCATGGTGTTGGTGATGTATCTAAGATCTCTAATTCAAGTAACTAAGATTTTCTTCTGTGTTTATTTGTAGAAGTTTTATAGATTAGTTCTTTTATTTAGGTCTATGAACATTTTACATTGATTTTTAGTATTCTGAGAGGTATGGGTACAAGTTTTCTCTCTCCCTTTACATATTATTTTCAAAATTTCATAGCTATTTGTTGAAAACACTATTCTTTCCTCTAGTTAATTGTCTTACTCCTTTGTTAAAAAATTATGTATAAATATAATGGTTTATTTCAGTACTCTCAATCCTATGCCATTTGTCTGTATGTCTGTTCTTATGTCAGTATTATGCTGTCTTGATTGATTTCAGACAGTTTGAATTCACCATCTTTGTTGTTATTTTTCATTGTTCTTCTGGCTAGTTAATTTCTTTGCCTTTCAATATATTTTAGAATGAGTTTGTCAATATCTGCAAAAAGCCCAGTGGGATTTTAATTGGGAGTTTCTCTTAATCTATAGATTAATTTGTAGAGAATTAACCTCTTACCAATATTGAATCTTCCAATTCATGAAAATAGTATATCTTTATATTTACTCTTATTGATTTGTTCCATCAGTATTTTATATGTAGTTTTAAGCATATAGATGCTGAAAGGATTTACTGTGGTGTGCTGTTGTCAAGACACTTTCAAAATTTTCAATTTATTTCTCATCTTTCATCCCATTTATAGGTTCTGCTCAAACCCTATCAGTGAAATTCTTCCATGTTGTATTTGACAATTGGATAATGTCTTATATTTGTACTGGATAGTATCTTGTAAAAGTTATTTCTAATGTTTTCCAGTTGCACTTTCCAAGAGATAAAGAAGGGGGTAAATCATTTTTTATTATATTGACTCAGTGATTTGTCTTGGTAGTTTAGTAAAGCCGTCATGATGGAGTGTTCACATAATTGATAATAATGTACTAATGTAAAAGATGCAGATCTTTCTGAAGGGGTTTGAACTCAGGAAAAGTGAGTGTATAACCTCTCTGTTCCTTCTTCTGTAGGTGTTGTGGTGTCCCTGGAAGTGTCAGAGAGCCCTGGGAGTATCCAGGTGGCCCGAGGTCAGACAGCAGTCCTACCCTGCACTTTCTCTACCAGTGCTGCCCTCATTAACCTCAATGTCATTTGGATGGTCATTCCTCTCTCCAATGCTAACCAACCTGAACAGGTACTTCTGGTCCATCCTGTGATGCATCTAAAAATATTAATCTTTTCAGAAGAGGTGGGTAGAGAAGCATCCTGAGTATATATTTGATCTCTAAAATTAGGTGGCATTTTCAGTGTGCCTATACTGTTTTAGGTCCTAGTGCTTGCAATATTAGTCAACTATCAGAAGAGACTAGCCTGTTTTTAAAAGACCATTGTTGTAATCATCATCGTCCTCGTCATCATCATCATCATCATCATCATAATCACATGTTAAGTAGAACCTCTGAATGTTTTAGGCAGGAACTTGGAATTGTTTTTAGAACATTGGTGACAGGAAAGTACCAAGATAGAAAAAGCAAAGTCTATTTTGGCAGGAAGGGATGGGCACTAATAGAGGTGAATGAGAGTATACTTTTAAAAGATGGTGATAACAGTAAGGAAGTAATGTTATATAGTACTAATTGATTCTCTTAATTTCATAAGCATGTAAGTATAAGTAGGCATACTAACCAGCTCAGAGAGTCTCATATAAATTAGACTGTGCCACACAAAAAAATGTATACAAAAAGAAAAGCTACTCCACAAGAGGCTATATAACATCACAGAAAAGAAGGCTCATAATTTGTGATAACCACTGCATAAAATAATGCTCAGAAAATAATGAATTGTGATAATGGGCACACATTTATTTACAATGACAACTTCTTTTATGAATCTTTTCTGCTTCAATAAGCTTATTACTGCCTAAAATATTCGATAAGATAAGCTTTCTGTTATGAAATTCAATAAAAACTTTTCTTTCTTCAAACCAGGGGATTTTTGTAATTAGACTAAACCTTCAAGATTATTTGTTCAACTTCCTCATTTTAAGAGTCAAGGAAAGAACTTGACTACAGTTTTCCCAAAATTTACAGGTAGAGCCTAAGTAGAACCTTTCTGTATAACATACTGATTCCACCTCCATGAGTGTTTAGATTTGATAATAGAAATTGCCACTAAAGAAGTGTTAGAGACCATCTGAGAAGCAGAGAGAGCGGCTATAGAAATTGACATAAGAACAGCAATCACGGACTTCCAAGTCTTCCCTGGTACAGTGTTTATTTTATATTCATCCTATAACTATGACCTGCCATTTTGTGTCTTAGTAAGCATGAGTTAGGCAATGCTAATATTTTCTAAACTCTTTGTTTTGGAATTAACTTTTTGAAGGAGGGTTGATAGTAGGGTAGCATATCTTCTGTGTTCTAATGGGCTAGATAATAAAAAAAAAGTTATTCTGATTTAGTATGTGAGAATTTAGAACTCCAAGATAACTATGAACAGTTGTATTAAGAAAAAGTTGGTGACAACTCTTAGAATAGAAATAAAATTCTCCAGCAGTTGGTGCAGGAACATATAGTCCTGTCCATCAGTTATTGTTATGTGTCTAGGAGGAAACGAAGTGGCCAGTTTATTTATTTTGCTTTCTTTTGCAGGTCATTCTGTATCAGGGTGGACAGATGTTTGATGGTGCCCCCCGGTTCCATGGTAGGGTAGGATTTATAGGCACCATGCCAGCCACCAATGTCTCCATCTTCATTAATAACACTCAGCTCTCAGATACAGGCACCTACCAGTGTTTGGTCAACAACCTTCCAGACAGAGGGGGCAGGAATATTGGGGTCACTGGCCTCACAGTGTTAGGTGAGTGACAGAGAACTTGCAGGTACCTTGCACTTTATTTTCAAATCTCTTGTCAAGAATATTTACTTCTGCCCTTCTTCTCCACTCTGGGTCTGCTTATGTTCCTTTTCTGCCTTTCTTCTTTAAGGTCTGTCTCTTCTGTACCCCTCTATGTTTCTTACAAACAGGCTTTCTGCCCCCTTCTTCAATTCTGGTGGTCTCTAAAGCTTCTTTAATGGCACTTTCTGGGAGATGGATAAAGTGGTATAAGACAACATCTGAAATGGTCCCACTCTTTTTTTAAGCTTCAATATAAGACAGAAGCCTCTGTTGAGAGCACATTAGATGATGGATTATTTATTGTGAGTACAAAGCAGAAGTTTCAGTGTGTGTGAGAGCAATACTTTTACTTCCTGTGTATATAACATGTGGCAGCTTCATGATAGTTTTTAGCTTGTACCTGTTGTCCTGATATAATTTTAATAATACTTCCATTTACATGTTTAATTTCTCAGTTTTCCTGTCTCTAAAATAAAACACTGACTTCTAAATGTGTTCTTGTGGTAGAAGTGGCTGAATTCAGTTCATTTGGGGGAGGTGGAGGAAGTACTCATAGAAAGCCAGTTCTTTTAATTCTCCTCCCTTTCAGGTCTCAGAACCTACCTCCACAGTCCCTCTCAACCCCTGCTCCACTTGGTCTTCCATTGGGCTGTCAATTCAGGATGCCAGTGTGGGGGATTCTTCTTGTTTTCCCTCTTTGGATGAGAATATGCTATAATCCTTAGTGCATTTTTCTCCTAGTCTTCAAATAGCATTAAAAACTAAGGACCAGATTGGAGATTTTTATTCTCAAAAGTATTATTCACTATAGTATATTAAAAATCATATGGATTTTTAAATACCCTGAGTACTGGGTACAGAGTACTAATGGAATTAAATATTCTGATGTTTACACCTCAAGTTATGTAACTGGCCTCCCACAATATCCATACTGACTTAATTTTTTTTAAGCATTCTAGGGCCTGAGTTTTCTTTATTTTACTTATATGTGGTGATGAGGATCAAACCCAGGGCCTCACACGTGCTAGGTGAGCACACTACCGCTGAGCCACAACCCTAGCCCTTACTTAATTTTTTAAAGGAAGAAAAACAGTGTTTTATAGTTGATGCTAGATTCAAGGAATTATTTTGGGTTTTCCAGAGAATTACAGTGACAATGTCAAAGGAAGCAAATTGAGGATATTGGTTTACCCTGTCACAGCAGTTAGGAGCCTGTGAGATTTATACTCTTCCTACCTGTGTGCTTACCATTATTCTGTCTTCTCCAGTCACTCTCGTTGCCAATTGCTCTGTCTTGCCTGATTCCTCTATATACTTTGTGCTCATTTTCCATTTGTATATTCATCATTTATTGAAAAGTCATTAGCATTATAAGTATATCATTACTTGGACTTAAACACTGGTGCCTGCATTCCCCAATATGTGACTTTAAGCTATGGGCTTAGTTTATATTTTTACTGCATAGTTTTGGCTTAAGTATTCTTTTCTTCTTGTTGTTGTTAATTTTTTGTTCCATGCCCTCCTTTGTGCTCTTTTCTGTCTTAATGATCATAAAATATCCACGGTATTACTATCAAGTTCCTGTTACTTGGATCCTTACTCTAATTTTCCCCACCACAAAGCAGAATTTGGTATAAAATGAGTCTTTTGGTTTTTGTTTGTGAAATAACAAAGAACTTTATTAAAGTGGTCTCAGCCACAGAACAGCTGGCAGGGCGAGTGTTCTATTCCTTGAAATTTTCTTTTAACAGTGATGTTTTGACTATTTTTAAAGGTATAATGTTGACGTGATGATCTTAAGAATTCTCTTTAAAGAATGCAGAGTGAAACCAAGACCATAAGATACCTTGAAAACATAATCAAACAGCATAGCCCCGTTTACTTGTTTGCCCCCTGCCAAACTAAAGTTATAGGTTCTGCCATTTGTGCCCAAGCCCCGTGACTTAATGCATGACTGTCCTCTGGCTTCTGCCAGGAGGTTGTCTCCTAGTGTGTTTTCCGAAAACAGTGTTACCTGAGGTTCCAGTGTACTGAATGTTTATGTTGTCTCTGTCATTGTTTGGCTTAAAGTAAATGTGTACTTTATTGTTTATTCTTCTTATTGTAGTTCCTCCTTCTGTCCCACACTGCCAAATCCAAGGATCCCAGGATATCGGCAGTGACGTCATCCTACTTTGTAGCTCAGAGGAAGGCATTCCTCGGCCAACTTACCTGTGGGAGAAGTTAGACAATACTCTCAAGCTACCTCCAACAGCCACTCAGGGTATGTACAGAGCTGCTTTAATCATCTTATTAGTTATGGGAAATTTGGAGATTCATTAAGTAATTTTAATGGATTTTGATAAATAACCTTCTTTATTTGAAACTGCTGACAAAGCTTTCTGGATCATTCTCTGTTTAAACTTTAAAGTGAATACAACATTTCCTTTATCTTCTCTTTATTCATTTGGTGGTTACAATGCATGGAAATTCTGTTCCATCCGAGTAGAGATTTAAAATAGCTAAATGGTAGCTGCTCTGAGTTAGCTCTAAGACCACCCTTGACGTTTATATCTGAGAACCCACTTCCTACTTGAGGCATAGATGCCAAAGTGTGAGAAGCATCTGCATAATCACTCACGAGGAGGTTAACCCTCCTGTTTCCAGTCTAAAGTTTCCTTAGAGAGGAAGATAAGAAAGAGAATAGGGAAAGGCCTCCCAGCCTAAGAGATTGATGAATCAATCACACCAGATAGGTGCAGGTGGAGAAGACACGAGTGTTATAAATGGTTTTTTACATGTAAACTCAGCTATTTAAATATGGATTTAAAGGAAATATGCTTGAAAACTTGAAGAAATTTTATGAAATAAAACGAGGGAATATTATATGTAAAATCTTCTATTTGAAGACAGTAAAATGTAGTAGCCTTAGGTTTTATATTATCTAATACCTAAAATGTTCCTTGTAGCTTTCTCAGGGATGATTTATGAATCTCTCTCTTTTTTTTGTACCCTTTTTGTACCAGGGAATAAACCCAGGAGTACTTAACCACTGAGCCACATCCCCAGCCATTTTATATTTTAGAGATAGGGTCTTTCTGAATTACTTAGGGCCTCACTAAGTTGCTGAGGCTGGCTTTGAACTCATGATCTGCCTGCCTCACTTATAAAATTTCTAATTAGTTACACATTACAGTAGAATGTGTAACTAATTAATAATAATCAGCCTCCCAAATCGCTGGGATTACAGGAGTGCACCACCATGCCTGACATGAATTGGCCATTAATGGAGAGGCCTAATACAACCTTAATTGTGCCAAGTTTGAATCCTATCGATGATGGTCCTTGCCTGCCCTGGAAAAGGAAACTCCTAAGCTGTTTGGTGAATTTAGACACATTAAAGAAGCAGTTCCACCAGCCTCTGAGGTGCCTGCAAGGATCACAACACAATAGTAATGGCCCTTATCATCATCTTTTAATTTACCTAGTCCAAAATTAATTTTAAAAAAACTTTTTAACATAGTAATTTTTGGGTTACCTTGATAATAAGTACTGTGATTGATTGTTCGTTGCTGAATGTGTCAGCCATATTGTGGGCTAAATAATTTAGCACTTTTTGTGGACTGACTTGTTATTCTCACCATTGTAAGTGGCATGCTCAAAATAGCTCTTGTCTTGAAATGCTAAAAACTATCTTCAAATTCCAGATTTTCCAGTAGTTATTTCTGTAACAGTTCACCTCTTTGATCCTGTGATACATTTTTCCTGTAAAATAAAGTGGTTACACAGGGAAAGGTCCACACAGGTATGGTCATCTGATCCTTGAAAAAGGTAGCAAAAACATAAATTGGAGAAGAGACAGCCTTTTAAACAAATGGTGCTGGGACAACTGGTGATCTATATGTCGAAGAAGGAAAGTAGACCCTATCTCTCACCTTGCACCAAAATCAACTCAAAATGGATCAAAGACTATGGAATTAGGCCAGAAACTACACAACTCCTAGAAGGAAAGTGTAGGGTCAACACTCCAGCTTTTAGGCACATGCAGCAACTTTCTCGATAGAAGCCCTAGAGCTCCAGAGATAATGCCAAGAGTTAATAAACGGGATGGCATCAAATTAAAAAGCTTCTGCAAAGCAAAGGAAATAATTAGGAATGTGAAGAGAGAACGCACAGAATGGGAGAAAAATCTTTGCTAGATGCTTTTCTGACAGAAGAGTAGGATCTAGAATATATAATCTCAAAAAACTTTATACCAAAAAAAATCAAATAACTCAGTTAATAAGTGGGCAAATGAATTAAACAGATGCTTCTTAAAAGAAGAAATACAAATTGCTAACAAATACATGAAAAAATGCTCAGCATCATTAGCAATTAGGAAAATGAAAAGCAAAAGTACACTGAGATTTTATGTCACACCAATCAGAATGGCAGTTATCAAGAATACACACAATAATGCTGGAGAGGATGTGGAGTAAAAGGAACACTTTTACAGTGTTGGTAGGAATTAGTACAACTGCTATGGAAATCAGTATGGATTTCAAAAGACTAGGAAAAGAATCACCCAGTTATACCACTTCTTACTCCTGAAAATTAAAGTCTTCGTTATGTCATTTTCAGGAAAATGGATGGAAGTAGAGACCATCATTTTTTTTTGCCCATTTGTAAAATTTCTAATTAGTTATATATTACAGTAGAATGCATTTTGACATATCATACATAAATGGAGTATAACTTCTGACTCTTCCGGTTGTACATGATGTAGAATTATACCAGTTGTACATGATGTAGAATTATACATATGCACATCATTCCATTGTCCTTCCCACCCCACACCCCTTCCCCTCCCTTCACTCCCCACTGACTAATCCAAAGTACCTCTATTCTTCCCTGGCCGATACCCCCCCCCACTTTATTGTGAATTAGCATCCACGAATTAGAGAAAACATTCAGCTTTTGGTTCTTTTTTGGTTCTTTGGGATCAGCGTATTTCATTTAGCATAATATTCTCCAGCTCCACTTAGCATAACATTTACTGGCAAAGGCCATAATTTCATTCTACTTTAAAAGGCTGGGTAATATTCCATTGTGTATATATACCACATTTTCTTTATCCATTCATCCATTGAAGGGCACCTAGTTTAGCTCTTTTAAATTGAGCTGCTATAAACATTGATATGGCTGCATCACTTGAGTATGCTGATTTTAAGTCCTTTTGGTATAGACAGAGAAGTAGGATAATTGAGTCAAATGGTGGTTCCATTCCATTCTGAGGAATAAAGACTATCATGTTAAGCAAAATAATTCAAAGTCAGAAGGTTAAGGATTGGATGTTTTCTTTTATACGTTGAAGCTAGAGAAGAGAAAAGGAAAGGAAAGGTGGGGATAGATCTCTTAAAAAGGCAAAGGGAGATCGGTAAAGAAAAAGGACTAAGGGGTGGAAGACAGGGATGGAGGGAGGAAGTGCTTGGGAGAATGATATTGGCCAAATTGTATTGTTATATTGTGTGCATGTGCGAATATGTAACAACATATCCCATCAATATGTACAACTAGAATGCATTAATTTAAAAAATGTGGAAATCAAGCAGAAAGGGGAAAAATAAACACAACAGGGTTAATAATATCTTCCTCAAGGTCCTCTGTAGTATCATTAAGATTCCATGATTGATATTTATTACATTTCTTTGGAATAGCAGATAAAGTTTAGAATTACAAATGAGTATTTGAGAATGACTATTTGTGTTTAAACTGAGAAATACCTGTAGAGCAAACCTTCCGTACATCTTTGCTTTTGGATATGATATCTGTCAAATTTCTTAGTATCCACTTTACAACTTGACTATTCTTTGGTTCTTTAGGTATGAATGTGAATTTGAATGCCAAAGAAGAAAACCTTTGTCTTTTATATTCAAACTCTGGATTAATTATCAGAATTACTTTGTATAACTTTAACTATCATAATAACACACGTTAAATGAGTTAGATTTTTAATTTAAATTCACCTTTTCATATCCATGCTTATAAACTAGATCTCAAAATTACATATAATCTCAAAATAACTTAGACTTTTTTATAGGAGATTGTTTTCACTAATTATGTTTATAATTGTTTGATAAAAACTGGTGCATTCTCTGAGAAAAGAATACTTGACACCAGGGGAGAGCATCCCAAGAGTCTAATGTTTTGTTATCAATAGAATGATATTTTGGGATTAGAACTGCCGAACGGCCCCTGTGTGTAAATGCTATCTTGATGGAGCTCCCTTTGGCAAAATCTGGGAGAATTTGAACATTAAAATAAATGTATAGCCCATGGAGGAGGATGAACCAATAAACACATATAAGTGGGGGTGAAGGGAAAGCATTATCCTTCAGCAGAATGCTGACAAATGCATACAGAAGGAATGTGGAGTTACAAAACCATGATTAATAGCATAATGACGAACAAAGGTTTGACAAGGAACAGGCTTAATTTACATAATTCCCAAGTACATCCCCACAAATTACTTATCAGTTACAAAGAATACAGTTAGTTTATAATGGGGAGACAACCTGGTAATAACACTGACGTGACCAGAGTAAACATCACCAGTATTGTGATAAACTGATAATCACATGCTTACTAATTTATGTACTGAGGAGGATGCAAAATCATTTCTGTGGCTTTCCTGTCAAAAACACATAACCTGAATCCAATAACAAGGAAACATCAGACCAAAAAATGTAAAAACAAAATTGTTGCAGATTGAAAAAGACTGCTATGGTTTTGATATAGATTGAGTGTGTTTCTCAAAGGTTCATGTGTTGGAGGTTGGTCCTCAGTGTGGTGGTGGGACCTTTAAGAAGTAGGGTCTAGCAAGGATTTAGGTGGCTCTTGTGTGAACCCTGAACTCTTGTGTAAGTGAGTGTAGAAGCAAACCTGACCCCTGACTTGCTCTCTGATTTCTTTCTAGTGATGTGATCTCTTGCTACCACATGAGCTCCTTCCATTAGGACCTCACTAGAGGCCAGTTTAATGTGTCTGCCTAATCTTGAACTTTCAACCAGTTTCCCAGGGCACAGGGAACTCTTCAGAGTATACATTTGAGTGGGTGGAGATGGAAGGTAGTGAATCAGAAAACTGCATAGCGCGTTACAAGGTGATAATGGGGAAAAGATGGATCAGGGTAAAATAAATTAGTTGGGGGATGAGGAGTGCAAATTTGAAGAAGATGCTTTGGGAAGGCCTCATTGAAATGATGATAGTCTAGCAAAACTTTAAAAATTAAGGACTGATTCATGT